ATATATATATATATATACTTTGCTGGTTTTTGTGTTTCTCTAGAGAACCCAATCCAACACAGCATCCATTTGTTGAAACATCTCAGTGGGTATTCTGTCAATTCCAGGAGTCCTGTTCTTTGCCAATTCCTTCATTGCAGCTTCAACTTCTTCCTTCAGTACCATTAGTTCTTGATTATATGTCACCTCCTGAAATGGATGAACATCAGCCAGTTCTTTTTTGGTACAGTGACTGTGTATTCCTGCCATCTTCGTTTGATGTTTCCTGCATCATTCAATATTTTGCCCATAGAATCTTTCAGTATTGCAACTTGAGGCTTAATGTTTTTCCTCAGTTCTTTCAGCTTGAGAAATGTTTAGCTTATTCTTCCCTTTTGGTTCTCTAACTCCAGGTCTTTCCACATTTCATTTTAATAACTAGCTTTGTCTTCTCAAGCTGCTCTTTGAAATCTTCTGTTCAGCTCCTTTATCTTGTCATTTCTTCCATTTGCTTTAGCTACTCTCTGCTCAGGGGCAAGTTTCAGAGTCTCTTCTGACATCCATTTTGGTCTTTTCTTCCTTTCTTGTCTTTTTAATGAACTTCTGCTAGATAAACTATATTTAAATAAAATGTATTAAAAAAAAAAAAAAGACCAGGCTTACTAGTCTGATAAAAATAAATAAATAAAAGCACCCCCAGCAGTCTGACGTTTCCTCTCTCTTGAGGACCCCTTTTCTTTGCCTCCATGATAGTGCCTGACTCCTCTTGTCTCACTGCCACTCAGCCCTGCCTTCACCTCCTTCACATCTTGCTGGCCTACTCTTCTCACTACCTCAAGTCTTCTTTTACATGACTGACTTTTTGGCTCTTTCTCCATTCTGTTTATAAAGGCATACCCTTTATGTTTTGTGAAAACATACTGATGTGTTCATTATAACCAGTGGCCAACTGCCATTGAGTCGACTCCTATAAGTGGCAATCTCAGAGTAGCTGTGCTCCGTAGGGTTTTCAATGGCTGATTTTTCAGAAGTAGATCACCAGGTCTTTCTTCCAAAGTGCCTCGAGGTGGATTTGAACCAACCTCTCAATTAGTAGCTGAGTGTATTAACTATTTGCACCACTCAGGGACTCTGTTTCCACTAAGTATTAAAAGTACAGTGGCGGCTACCTAAAGCAGGGGTCAAGATTGTCTGTAACGGGGCACAAAGAAACTTTTTATGGTGATGACCTTCTATACCTTGATTGTGGTGGTGATTACATGATTGTATAAAGTTATCAAAATTCACCAAACTGTATGCTAAAAATGGGTGAATTTTACTGTAAATATATCATACCTCAAAACAACAACAACAGAAAAAAACTAGGAAAAAACATATTATAATGCAAGGAAGGAAAAAGTACCAGAACAGAATATATTCCATTTGTAGTAACATAATGCTGGAAAGTTGTCATTCATTTTAAACCTAAGGTTCATTCAAAACGTTGATAAGTTTAATTACTAGTATACTCCATGAACAGAGTAATCTGTTGTTAGTACATCTTTCTTTTTCATTAACAGATTAATTAAAATGTTGAAGAACAAAAAACAAATCAATAGTACACTATTCAATGAGGCGAGTGATACATTGGAAAGTGGATCAGATGTTACTATCCACTATTTTATTGCCGCTTTAGTGTAAAATTTCTTCACAGCCACCTATGACTAGATAAGACTAACAGGATTTCAAGATCTCAGGGGAAATCGAGTTCAGTTCGCAAAACACAATTCATAAAGATAACATTCTACGTTCTAGTATGGTGAGTAGCATCTGAAGTCTTGAAAGCTTTTAAGTAGCCATCTAAGAAGCAACAATTGGTCTTTTCTCCCCTGGAGCAAAGAAGAATGAAGAAAAATGAAGACACTACAAAGCAATTAGTCCAAAGGACTAATGGTTCATACGAACCATCCAAACAAAAACAAACCCACAACCATCAAGTCAATTTTGACCTACAGCAACCCTATAGAACAAAACAGAAGTGGTCCACAGGGTTTTCAAGGCTATAAATCTTTATGAGAGCAGACTACCTCATCTTCCTCCTGCAAAAGCAGCTGGCAGGTTTGAACTACTGACCTTTTGGTTAGCAGCTGAATGCTTTAATCACTGTGCCACCCTAACCTGAAACCAGAAGAACCAGATGGTGTCTGGCTACAATTACCGACCACTATGCCCAAGACTGCAATAGAAGATCCTGGCTGGAATAGGTCAAAAGCGTAGAACAAAATTTAAATAATAATAATAATAAAAAGACCAGACTTACTGGGCTAACGAAACTAGAGGAACCCCAGAGACTACTGCCCTGAGATATTCTTCTAACTTGAAAACACTCCCAGAAGCCATCTTTCAGCCAAATAATAGTTGAGAGTATAAAGCAAACAATAACACACATGAAGAATGTGCTCTTTAGAACAACCAACAATACAGGACCCAAAGGGCAGCATTTGCCCAAGACCAAAGAAAACAGAGAGAGAGAAGGAAACTGGATGAATGGAAGTGGGGAACCATGGTAGGAAATAGGGAGAGTGCTGACACATTGTGGGGATTGCAATCAATGTCACAGAAAAATCTGTGTATGAATTAATTGATTGGAAAACTAATTTGCTATGTAAACTTTCACCTAAAGTGCAATAAAATGTTAAGAAAAAAAGGAGAGGTCATGATGCAAATGGTGATCTAAAATGCTTTACTGCCAGTGCAACAACAGCTACCAACTCCTTCACACGCCTGAGTTTTATCATCACCAAAAGATGAGAAAATACTTAACTGGAGGAACACATCAGTCTTCCAAATATCTCACAGCATTTAATAGTAGAGTACCCAGTAGACGGATGTTCCATAAATTAATTTTAAAGGCCTTACCATTGCACTTGCTTCATTTCCCAAAGCTGTCCCAGTTCTGATGGGGTCTGTTGAAAAAGAAAGAGAAAACACATAAAGGCTCACATTATTAAGCTGCTAATTTGATTTGTGTAAAGTTTGAAAGACAAATGAGGTCTTTAAAGCCAAAGCGTTAGCCTGAACAGGAAAATCAAGCTTTAATCACCTAATATTAAAGTCAGTTGTTAAAAGAGGCTATTCCCGCTGTTTTATTCCTACCATTAAAATCTGTAAGTTAAAAGACATCTTTATTCACTTATGCCAGGAAGACTGGGCAATCTACTTCCACAGAGGTACCGCCTCAGAAACCCAAGGAAGTGTCGCTGAGTCAAAACTGACTTGACAACAGTGAGTAACCCAATTAAGCACCAGGAGGTAAAGCTACTCTTCATACTCCAGGGTTATCATCTCTCGTGCCTGCCAGAGGAGCCTGTGCCTTCTGAGACAGCTATTATAGCAAGAGGAATAGCTATCCCTAAGCAGAAAGCAGAGTCTCTGAGTGGTATAAATGGGCAAATGTTTGGCTGCTAACTAAAGGTGGACAGTTCTAATCTACCCAGAGTTTCCTCAGAAGAAAAGCCTGGTGATCTACTTCCAAAAAATAACACCCATTGAAAACCCTAGGGAGCACAGTTCTACTCTGACACACATTTGGTTTCCAGAAGTTGGAATCAACTCCACAGCAACTGGTAACAAGAAGGGAGCTGCTTATTCCCTCATAAAGGACCAGCAGGAGTCGGCGAGAACTCTGGCAACTGAGGGCCGTGGCAGGGATAGCAACTGCCTGCTTTTCATTTAGCATAGCCTTGCAGTTCATGTTCCTTATTCATTCAATATTTTTTAAAAAATTGTTACTGAGCATCGATGAAGACAGGCATTGAGGACGTATAATGAGCAGATTAGACACGACAGTTTAGTCCTTTATTTTTACACATTATGAAAGTATACTTTTTCAAACTACCTTGAAACATTTCTTAGACTGTTTTTTATTGCCCATAATTTTAAAACTGGTTTTCTACTACTCTGGAATATGAACAAAAGCTACAAAATGATACCTAAAGTAAAATTAACATTAAAACAAAAAGGTGAAACAAAGATAACTTGCTACCTCTTAAGGAATAGAGAGAAGGCTAAAATATAAGACAAAATTATTTATATCATTAGAAGGGCTTACATCCTGCATTGTCACCAGGAGTGTCTAATGCACTATAAGAGGAACAAGGTGAACAAGCCCCAACTTGATCACTACGGATTCCTAGCTAGAAATGGACCCAGTCTCTACTTTCCCATTTCCCCATTCCTTATTTCCAACCACTTCTTCTGTGGCACTTTCTCTCTGATCTTAACCACCCAGAGCTAAGCTAGACTTTATCCCTGGCTACCTGAGCCAGGTCACTGAGTACCAGCCATATGTTCAGGGGTCTGTACCACTCCCAATACTTCAGACCAGCCCACCCAACCTATCCCCAGCCCCCTGGGCTAGATCAAAAGCTAGATGTCTCCCTCTTCGACTGCCTACACAGCCTTTCTGTGTCCTCCAGCCTTCTAGGGCTGGATAGTTAAGACCCTGTCCCTAGACTGCTTGGGCAGCCTCCTCTGAATGCAGTCACTGTCCCACAGACTCTTTGCTCCATGGAGTCTCGTTGCCCCATGCACTTGTTAATTTTCTTTAAAAAACCAAACCCGCCGCCATTGAGTTGATCCCAACTACCCCCACTGGGTTTCCAAGGCAGTAAATCTTTACAGAAATATATTGTCCCATCTTCCTTCCGCAGAGTTCCTGGTGGGTTTGAACCATCAACCTTCTGGTTAGCAGCCTTAGACACTACACCACAAGAGCAATTTTCTTAAGGGGGAGATTACCTATACCTACAATTACCCATTTACTATAACCAGAATGGATACAAGCAAAGAAACACTTCAGGTAAAGTTTGGAAAAGGTCATGCATGCAACTCCACTGTCCCCAGGGACATGCCATACTCTCCCAAGTATGGATGTTCTCTCCACCTTAGGAATCCTGAGCGCTCCAAGGACCGGGGGCCCTTATTCACTGGAACTTCAACGCATATACATGACTCAATGAATATACATGATTGACTGTATCATGCCCCCTTCCCTTCCTGAGGTCTGCCACCAGGATGGGGTTTCTGCAGCCTCTACCCATTTACACAAGCATTAAGTGTTGCCTATTTCATAAAATAAAATTTCTTGCAAATTCCAAGAGCTATTTTCAGAAACCACAGAGGAAGGTCACAAATCCTTACAAAAACATTTAAAATTTAAGAAAATAGTAGTTTTAAAAATGTTTCTTTTCTCATATATGAGGACAAAGGAGCCCTGGTGGCTCAGTGGTTAAGCACTTGGCAGCTAACCAAAAGGTCAGTGATTCAAATCCACCAGCTGCTACACAGGTTCCTTAAAAATTTACAGCCTTAGAAATCCTATGGGGAAGTTCTACTGTGTTCTGAGTTTGAATCTACTTGATGGCAATGGGTAGGGTGTTTTTATTTTTTTTTTTTCCCACTACAATGATGAGAGCCAAACAATGGAGGTTTATAACCTCTCCAAAGAGTGGATAATCTTGTATACTTAACTCCTTTATTTGGTTTCTATCTACTATATTTGTTAGGAGTTTTTTCAGATGGACAATCTGAGAAACTGAGGACAAATGAAAAGGAACAAAGCTGGCTTTGGAAAACTAAGATACGGTAACTTCCAAAAATGACAGTAAGTTAAATTTGAAATGCGCTCAGCATAGACTGTAGATGTATGAAAATTTTATGCAGTTATGTGTGCAGACCAAAAGGAATTATGCTACAAAAGACCTCTTTAAAGTGTTAAAGAGCAAATATGTCATTTTGAAGAATAAGGTGTGCGTGACCCAAGCCAGGGTATTTTCAACTGTCTCATATGCATGTGAAAGCTGAACAATTAATAGGAAGACCTAAGAAATACTGATGTATTTGAATTATGGTGCTGGCAAAGAATACTGGATATACCATGGACTACCAGAACGTACAAATCTGTCTTGGAAAAAGTACAGTCGGAATGCTCCTTAGAAGGAAGGATGGCCAGCCACCATCTCTTATACTTTGATCATGTTATCAGGAGGAACCAGTCCCTAGAGAAGGTTATCATGCTTGCAAAAGTAGTAGCTGTTGCTGTTAAGTGCCATTCAGTCAGATGCAACTCAAGCAACTCTATGTACAACACAACAAACATTGCCTGGTCCTGTGCTAGCCTCACAATCCTTGCTATAACTGCCCGTCACTGCAACCACTGTCAATCCATCTTGTTGAGGGCCTTCCCCTTTTTTGTTGATCTTCTACTTTACCAAGCATGGTATCTTTTACCAGGGAATGGTTCCTTCTGAAAACATGACCAAAGTAGGTGAGAGAGGGAGGCGGGGCAAGATGGCGGACTAAGCAGAAGGATTGCACAGACCCTCTTCAACAAAGAAAAGGGAAACCAATTAATACAGACACAGAAGATAAT